GTTTGTGGGCTGATGTTCTAACCCAGTAATGGTGAACCTTTTGAGCTCGGCGTGTCAGCATTTTGAAAAACCCTAACTTAACTCTGATACCGTGTCACATATAGAAATTTTTTGATATTTGCAACCATAGTAAAACAGAGACTTATATTTTTGATATTTATTTTATATATTTAAATGCCATTTAACAAAGAAAAATCAACCGAAACAACGAGTTCTCGTGTCACCGATTTGCCATCGCTGGTCTAACCACTGAGCAAGGAGGAGGAAGAGAGAGAGAGAGAAACATCATCAATCGGCTGCCTCTTGGGGATCAAGTTCGCAACCCAGGCATGTGACCTGACTGGGAATCGAACCTGTAACTGCCTGGTTCATGGATCGAAGCTCAACCACTGAGCCACACCAGCCCAGCTCAACTCCTTATTTTTGCTGTTGTTAATCCTCACCAGAGAATATTTTTTCCATTGATTTCTAGAGAGAGTAGAAGGCGGCGGAGGGGGGGGGACACTTTTGAATAAATATTGTTTATAGAAATATTTTGAGGGTTAATTATCAACTTAGAGAACAAGCAAAACCCTGCCTCATTTTCATGTCCCAGTGTGTCTTAGATGTGCTTTACATATGAACGCTGGGAGTTCTGGCAGCCTCCCTACTTGTGAACCTCACAGTCATTCACCCAAAGTCCTTGTGCTTCTCTTTTCTTAATCTCAAACTAATGTTCTTCTCTCTGTACCCCTTACTACAAATCTAATCTAGGTCATCAGTTTCCTTGATTACTCCAACAGCCTCCTAATTGGTCCTACTGTCTTGCCCGCTTCCAGTCCACAGTATACACAGAGCAATATTTGTGCTACACAATTCTGGCTTTTTAATTCCTCCCCACCCCCACCCCTACCCCAGTGGTTCCTCAAGATAAAAATCTAAGCATTTTTAGGAAGGCCTACAAGGCTCTGTGGATAGGACCCTTGCTTACCTTTCTAAACTATGCAAATGTTGTCATCTTAACTCTGCTCCCATCTGTTCTACACGATTCAGCTTGGAGATCTCTATCAGAGCTTTCCTTAAATCTCTAGGCCTGGGGTTGGTAAACAGCATGGCCTGTGGGCTAACAATGTTTTATATGTGTAAAATATTAAAAAAAATACATACAACAAAGACCATTTGTGGCTCAGACAGCATTAAACTGATAAGCTTTATAAGAGATGTGGTGCCTCATTCAGTTAGGTCACTGTCACGTAGTATTGTGCCTGGCAGTGCACTCTGCACCAATTTATCAAATACTTGACTAAATTTTTTTTTCAATTTGTCCTAGTAAACAAGACACCCGGGCATGCTCTTCATGCTAATTCCGATGGGTAGTGAATATCTCATTTGCTTTTAAAAAGGATAGACACTTGCAGGATCAGGTTTAATAAATTTGAACATGAGGCACAGGTTTCCAGGTATATGTAAATACATCTTTATTTTCCATCTGCTTTTTGCTTTTTCCATCTCTTAATCCTTTTGGACAGGAATGAATGTTTGATTTCCAGTTGAAGCTTGAACATCCTTAAATAGAGCGTATGGTCTTTTTGGTTTTGTTCTTTTAAGAGATGATCTTCAGAATTCTAGGACTTATTGCAGTAAATATTGTATTTCCTTTTTACCCACCTACCATTAGTTAGTTGTTGCCTCCTAGGTCCTGGAGAGTTTTCTGTGGTTAAAGGATGCTTTTGATTTCTGTATCAACACAGACTCTCTTTGTTGGTTTCTCTGAAATAGTATTTTCTTCTTCTAGTGTATCATTACACTCCCTTTTGGCTTTTGTTTCTGTCTCATTGAATAAACGTGGGTATTTAATGCGTCCCCTACGTACGCAGTGCTGGATCCGGGATTCCAGTCCTTGGCATTTAGGACGATCCATTAGGGGCTTATATGTGCGCATTTTCACTCCTTCTACAAAGGCACTGGTCTGCTTTATGACAGAGGGCTTAACATTTCTCCATTCTATTACTTCATCCGTCTCTGTTCCTATAATATGTACAATCAGTCATTACATGAATACTTTACCATAATAGAATCACCTCCAAACTTTATATAAATCTACTTCCCCATAACCATGTATAATTTTGGTACTGATAATTTTACCCATGGATTTCCCTATCATACCTGTCTCACAGGGCACAGCAACAGACTCGAGTCCTTGCAGCATACTATACAACACGTGAGTCTTAACAGCTTGATTAGCCCACTGTTGTTGTAGGTAGGTTATATTGAACTCCTGAACCTCCTGGTCATAGAGCCACTTGATATTTTCAAACTTACAGTCATACAAGACTAGAGGAAATTCTACAGCCATACTAGAGAGGAGACAAAACAGCATGAGAATACATAGCAGCCATCCAACAGTTCTTGAAAAACAAGATTAGTTGGGTTAAAAGTGGGGGGGAACTTTGTCAATATTAAGTATCTAATAGTTAAGAAAATACAGCACTATCTCTAAACTTTCACATTATAACTAAAAAACAAACAAACCATGGGATAACTGCTTGGTCTATACTGGGGTACATTTCAATGGTAACAAGTCACCTGCAAGTGAGTTCATTTGGCTCCACCATATGGCTATAAAATTTAAAACAGCTGGTGGTATTTTTCCAAACTAGTCAATTCTGCATAGTATGAAGAAACTTAAACATTTCACTGCTTAGGAATGAGTTATTGGTCTCAGCCTGTTCTCTAAGGAGAGTTAGCTGTTTTTCCTACTTTTCCTACCATTTCAGAAACTGAAAATTAGGAAAAATTCCAAAGTAGTAGTATGATTACTCCATAATACAAAACAAGCAAGATTTAAATAGGAATAGTTTGAATGCTTACTGTTTAACTTTAGCAGAACCTAACAATACTTCTTAACATAATTTCAGTGGGGGTGGGGGGATGTAGAAATGAATGTGCTTTTATTTAAGAGGCCTGGTCCAAACACCTATTTCTTATTCCTGGGATAGGAGTGTAACAGGAGAAAATTCAAAGATACCACTCCCTCTTACATGTTCATAACATTTTACAAGTTAGGCTAAAAACTTCATGAAGAAAGACTCAGTGACTTAGTTATTCAGACAATTGTGGGAATAGAAAGATATATTAGAATATATTTCAAAATAATCTAAAAGCAATGGCTATTTTGTTAATATATATTTATACTTAAATTTACCTGTATTGAGGTTTCTGGGGATTTTTCTCTATGTTTAGCAGCTCATCGATAATCTCTGGCTTCTCCATTCCTTGGCCAATCAGAAAAAGGATAGCCATCATACAGCGGACTTGATGATAAAGGAATGCCTGACCAGTCACTTCAAACTGACATAACTGAAAAGGTTCTTGCCATCTGTCCTCGGCCAGACTCTGGCCCACTAGCTGTACTTGAGCAGACAGAATAGTCCTCTGAAAATTAACCACTCCATTGGCTACATCCATTTTACATAAGTTCCTAAAATCATGTGTGCCAACATACTTCTGAGCTGCACAGTTCATGGTTACAATGTCTAAATCAGCACGAGGGAAAAAGTAGCGGTAAGTCCGCTCAAGACAACTGAACCTAGCACTGAAGCTGGGCTCTACAGGGGCCCAGGCCAATACCCGGATGTCGGGAGGGAGCACGCGATTGAGAATGTGAGTATAACGGATCTCTTTGGCATCATCGTGGACTTCATCTTTTAAATTAAAATCCTCTGAATTCCTGCCCTTCAGAAAGTGAGAACGAAGGTCAAGAGAAATCACCTGTGGAATTAGAGAAAGATAATTTGTTAGCGATACAAATAATGAGTCCTCAGCATGTACACCTAGCATATATTGGTATTGCTTCTATGAGAAACAGTTTAGCGGTCCTTACCTGTCCAAAGGCACTAACTCCTTTGTCTGTTCGCCCACACCGGTGATACTTAGATGTCTGTCTGCTTTCTACTAGTCGAGTCTTCGTTAGAGCCTCAAACAGTTTCTCCTCAATAGTGTTGTTTGTGTTTTCCTGACTGGCAAAGCCCTGGTATCCCCAGCCCAGATAGGCTATCTTTAGGGCTACATGTCTTTGACCATGAGCACTGAAGTCAAATGCACGCTTAGCTTTTCTAGCTCCTGAAGAATTTTCTCTAGCATTTGAGATCTTTGTGTTGGCCTGTTCTTTTTTAAGTCTTTCTATCTCCTGCTCTAGTTCTTGTACTCTTTTTAGGAGTTTGTCAGTCTGGGTTCTGTCTGTGTCATTTTCAGCCATGATAAGACAACTCCAGGAATAAATGAATCATAAGGGTCCGCACTACCTGAAAAAAGAGTAAAAAGGATACAGTTTTAGTGTTGGTTCCTTTGATCATGTCAGTAGCTTTCAATTATGTTCAAATAAAATCTAAGAGTTAATTTAATGCCTTAAGTAGACTTTTGCTTTGCCTAGGGATACAAGATTACCTTAATTATTAGGGTTGACCATCCACAGATGATATTCTTTTTCATCTGTATAGCCAATTTAAAGAGGAAAAGGAAAGTAGTATCATAAATGTTTGGCTAGCATTGTTAAGGTTTTAATCGTCAGAATTTAGGGAAAATGACTGTAAATTTTATATCTCTATTCTGTAGCAGAGATGATTAGGGACTGTTGTTACTGATATTTTCCCCCTAAAACATTTCCTTTTGACTTCTCATTACATGTGTTGAATCTTTCCCATCAAACTCTGTTGATACGGCCTTGGTGGTGTGGCTCAGTTGGTTGGAATATCATTCTGTCCACCAAAAATGTGGCAGGTTTGATTCCTGGTCAGGGCACATATCCAGGTTGTGGGTTCGATCTCTGGTCATGGCACATGTGGAAGGTAACCGATCAATGTTCCCTTTCTTGCCCTTCCTCTCTTTAAAACTTTTTAAAAAGAGAGATCTTTTGATATGGAATATATGTCTACTGTGAGTGTCTATCACTTTCCAGTATCAGATAAAACTGGTAGCTTACATGTCCTGTCATCTAATACGAATTTCTGTCTTAAAGGTGGTACAGTAGAAGCTAGCCTGATTGAAGAAATTTGTCAATGATTATACTTCATATTGGAAGTAGAACCTGGAGTCAAGATTTTCCCACTTTAAACCATTTTGATGGCAGAAAGAAGGTAATTAAGCATCGTGATCCTTTTTTAAAGTCAAATTTAATGCATGTTCTGAAAAAAAATTATCTGAGGACAACTGTACTACATCCTTAAAAATGGTACTAGATAATCTATGACTGACGGCTATTTTAGGGAATAGAAGATCATCTACACATCTGTACTGAGGCTGACTATGTAATTTAAGTCTGGGTAGCTCGTTTTGTTTTTTGTCCTTTGAGTTTCTATATCTATGATAGATTAAAAGTTTACATTTAAAACATATAACTATAAAAGTGCTAGAAGAAAACATGAACTAACTTAGTTAAAATCTTAAGAGTGGGAAAGGGCATTTATGCTTGCACAAGTATGTAAAAATTTGTAAGATACACATTGTAACATTCATTTTTTAACAACAAAAGACTGTAAGCCTACAATAAATCATTCATGGACTAGCTGAAAAATTACAGTACATCCATATATTGGAATTCTATGCAACGTACTAGCTGTGTAATCTTGGGCTAGGGTATTTCATCTCTCTGACTCTGTGAAAAGATAATCAGAGTACCTACCCAGTTATGAGGATTGCATGAATGAATACTAGTATAAAGGCACACAGAACAGTGTTGGATACATGAAGTGTCTTTCTCAGTACAAGTTACATAATGGTCATTAAGCCCAATGCCCTATATCATGTAATATAAAGCTTTTCGTATGCTAAAACTCACCTGTCCTGTCCTGTGAGCTACTAAAGGTGGCAAGGGCTAGCAGGCAGTAGAAAGTAGGAGTGAATAAGAAGAGGGTGGAAATGAAAGCAGGATTCTCCAGCCCAGCTGGTGTGGCTCAGTGGTTGAGCGTCATCCTATGAACCAGGAGGTTAGGGTTTGATTCCCGGTCAGGCACAAACTGGGGTTGTGGGCTTGATCTCATCCCCAGTAGGAGGCAGTCGACCGAACATCTCTCATCATTGATGTCTCTCTCTCTCTATCCCTTCCTCTCTGAAATCAATAAAAATGTATTAAAAAAAACACACAAGAGACCAATATTTGAATGTTTAAAAAATAAAGCAGGATTCTCCAGAACTCAGTTAATGCTCCTGCAAACTGTTCCCATACTACCTTGTACTAATCTGTAATTTATTATTTAACTATTACAGTTATGATTGCCTTAGCTATTTTTCATTTCACTGACAAAAAGGGAGTGAACAGTTTGTGAGATAGAAATTTATTATTAGAAAACTGATCAGTGTTTTCTCTTGCAGAAAGCCCTCCAATGTGAGGGAAGCAATGGAGGAACTCATGGGACCTAGTGGACAAAACTGGGCCAATATGGATCCAGAAGAACAAATGTTAGCGGCTGCTACAGCTTTCACCCAGATCTGTGCAGGGCAGGGTGAGGGAGATGTCAGGAGAGAAGCCTGGCCTACCCAATATGACCCTTACAGCAAAGCTTCAGGAACCCAGTATCCCTACAGCAAAGCTTCAGGAACCCAATACGATCCCTACAGCAAAGCTTCAATAACCCAATACGATCCCTACAGTAAAGCTTCAATAACCCCAGGAAAGCAACATGCTCCTCCCATGCAACTGCAGTACCCACATGCGAAAAGTAACGTCACCTCAGAAACAGTCTCAGAGGCCTCCCAGAGACTCCGCAAGCCAGTGATGAAGAGAAAGGTGCTGCGTAGGAAGCCCGATGGGGAAGTATTAGTGACAGATGAGTCCATTATCAGTGAATCGGAGTCTGGTACAGAAATTGACATGGATCTCTGGGCTTTAAGACAAAGGCTGATTAACCTTCAGTTCCCGAAAGACAGTGAGTCCCCTGTTGATACTTCAGAAAAACTTAATCTACCACATGAATACCAAGATCAGCTCAACGGGTATCTACAAAGAGAAGGAATGGGCCCTCCAGCTTATGAACAAGACCTGATAGTTGCCAGCCGACCGAAGTCCTTTATTCTCCCAAGGCTGGACCAGTTAAGCCGAAACCGGGGCAAGATAGACCGGGTAGCCCGCTATTTTGAGTACAAACGAGACTGGGACTCAATGCGATTACCTGGTGAAGATCATAGGAAGGAATTACGCTGGGGTGTCCGAGAGCAGATGCTTTGTCGAGCAGAACCCCAGCCCAAGCCTCAGCACATATATGTTCCGAACAATTATCTAGTACCAACTGAAAAGAAAAGGTCTGCCCTTTGTTGGGGTATTCGTTGTGACCTTGCAAATGGTGTCATGCCCAGGAAGCTTCCCTTCCCTCTTTCTCCGTCTTAAGTCTTTTTTTTTTTAACCTCACAGGATTGTTTGGGATAACATGGCATTTTATATCTTTTATTTAAATAGAAACAACTAGAAAGACCATGGTACATTATAGAGTAAGGACTTCACCCATCATTGGTTTTTCCTAGGAATATATCACACTGATAACAGGTGCCACTTAACTGCCAAATTACCACTCTCAAACCCAGCAATGCAAGAGAAGTCACACCAGAGGAAGAAAACACCTGGTCTCTCTACTGTCAGATTAGTAAGCAAAGTCAGCTAACACTGTTTCTGCTCTATATTTTCTTTACCTTTGACCAGCATGAGTTGCTGTTTTTAATAGTGTGTTTTTAAAGTTGCTGGGCATTACGCTTATCCATTAAAGAATTTTGGAAATTTGTGGCCTTGACCTCATTTTTCCGTAAATACTTGCCAAAGTAAGACGATCTCAAACCTGAGTTACAAGTTTGCTTCCAGTTGTACTCCCCATCATACTTTCATCGCCTAAACAATGCGAGCCAGAGGGAAGGAACAAAACCTGCCCTTCACACACAAACCTAAAGGGAAGAAGAAAGGAACAGCACAGCTATCCTCTATGAGTAAATCCAGGGAACTGTGTTAAATATCTTTAATAGGTGCTCAACAGCCGCACTATTTGATATACAGGATTCTAGCGCAAGCTTTGTTTCAAAATTATTGAAATGTTTTGCCCGAACTTTTATAAGTTGCCACTGAGGTTGTCTTAGAAATATGCCTGTCACTTGAAAGCTATTCCCACTCTGCAACAGAACTTCAAACTGCTAACGTCTGGAACTAGATGCAGACAAAGTGACCTATTTGGGTACAAACCAAAACACCAATTCTGCTCGCTTAAATTGGATCTTCTTGTTCTTACTCTAATCCAATGAGGAACATCTACAAACTGAAGACTGTCCATTTTAACATAAGACAAGAGTAGTGATAGCAGAAATAGTTTGCTCGTTCGAAGAAAAACAGCTATGTGACAAAAATAACCTTGACCTATCTGCTAAAATACATTTTCTCCATAATGTTTAAGCTACACCATTCATTCACTCAGTTCCACCTCTAGGCATTTATCAGCAAAATAATCAGTAACTCAAAGACATGTACTGCAAATAAGTAAAAACTGCTAGCCACAATGGTGAGGTTATTGAGTAGAACATTAGTCATTAAGAATCATGGGAAGCTAATGGGAAATGCAAATTAAGTGAAAAATAGGTTACAAATTATGCAGTAGAATCTCAGTGTTACACTCTTCCTCCTATTCCCCCCTCCATTCCCCCACACCCACACCCAAACAGACACACAGCACAAGGAAAGATCAAAACCTAACACTGGGTAGTGAGATTAAAGATAGTTTTTATTTTCTTTATATATTTTTAAGAGTTAAAAGCCACATATTTTTATATGCAAATTACAGCAAAATGCTCAAATGATTTATGTATCTCAAAGCCCAAATCGTAAAGTTTTCTAAGTGATTATCTAGTTCAACCCTTTATTTAACCAAAGAACCAGTCCAAAGGGTGTAAGGGCGGAGTAATGAGATTTGTGGCTAGAGGAGGCGGAGAGCCCCAGTCTCCTGAGTGAGTACAGCGCTTTGTCCAGGGCATCATACCCTTCTCTGGGTGAAGTACAGGTCCCAAGCGGACACCTAACACCGGGAAGGGGGCTGCCAAACGACCACACACAGGTATTCGTGCGTACGCCACGCATTCCCAGTAAGCACTAAAGCAGTCATTGTGTTGCACTTTTTTAAAGTTAAAAAGATTTTAATCTCGAAAATATTAGTAACTAGTGGAGTAATAGGGCATTCCCATGATAAATTTCTCTAAACCAACGAGGGAAGGAGGGGTAATACCCACAGGATCAGAAAACCGGAACCTCTGGTCACTAATATCGGAGAGCAATCCCCCAAACCACCCGAAAAATGTCGCCATGCCTTCCTCCCACCCCACAACCTACCGGGATCCCGCCCAGTACCAGCAGTTTGTTTTATGAGCAAACAACTCTCACCGAGGCAGCAGAGGCTTCACTCCACAGTCCAAGGACCCTCTAAGAATCGAATTCAAGTAACTGCTCCTCCTGTGGCGAGTTTCCGCGAGGAGCTCCAGGAAGCACTACACACACACACAGGTCCCACTCCCGTAAACGGGCACTTTCCTGGAAAGATCGAGGTATGAAAAGGGAGCGGGGAAGAGAGAAACGTCCAACTACCTGTCCATTCGTCCGTTCCTCTTCTGTAGGACCCAGAAAACAGCCCACCCCGCAACACCCCACGTTTACATTCCGATCTAGGGCCAAGAGGCTTTTCGCGAGACAGGAAGCTGTCAATTTGCGTTTCCCGGGCGCGCTCGGGGGCTCATGGGAGTTGTAGTCCAGCTTTGTGGGAAATGTAGTTCTAAGAGCTGGGGTGCAAGCTTGACGTGGAAACCAGCCTAGTGTTTCCCAGTCTGACCACCGTTTCTCCACCTCAGGCCTGGCATAGTACAAGAACAAGAAGACAAATGGTAGTGCGCTAAAATAATAGATCAGTAACCAAAGGTCTGCCACCTTTATACGAAAACTAAAAGAACCTGGCTCTGGCTCAATTATATACCTATTTAAATTCGTAGAAAGTTACCCCTGCGAGACAAAACAAGAGGAAAAAAAAAAGTTTACTACTAGAACCCAATGTAAGAGCTGAACAGGATTTAACAGCTGGGAATCTGGCTTCAGCACCACGGAGAGAGTATAACTAGAGTTTTGTAGGTTTTTCCAGAGACTGATCCAAATCTCAAGATTCCAGTTAGAAAAAAAAGAGGGAGATGCAGGGCTCCGTGCCCGCCCGGCTGGGTCCATCGCTCGGGTCCAGCTGCGCGCAGGAAAGTGAATCTGGTTCTTTTGTCAAAGTCCAGCAGTCAGTAGAAGGATTATATCCCAGATTATGCGGGGCCGGGAGGAGGTGGTGGCTGTACCACGAGGGACAGGTTTCTCGGGATCGCTTCAGCTAGGGCTCACATCAGAATTAGAATTACAATGAACACAAGCCGGTCTGTGCAGGCAGCACAGGCATCTGGGAGCAGAGGCGGAAGTTAGGACCTGAAGGGCTTTCCTTCCCCTCCGCATCCACCGCGCTGGACTTCAGTTGTCAGATGAAACGAACCCTTTTTGACCATCCATTTTCCCAGCAGTTCGCGGCCTTTCCACGAGGCGGAAATCTGGCGGGGCGGGGCGGGGGAAATCAGGGGGGCGGTGGTCCAGCCTGACCACCTAGGAAATGACCTGGGGAGTGAGTGGTGGGGTGAGGGACGTA